CTCCTCAGTCCTTCATAAGCCTCTTCACAGCAGTGTGCTTCTCAACCACTTGCACAGGCTGAAACGCTGGCTGACACGGTAAACTTCCAGCAAAATAGGCAAAGGGTCCAAATTCACTTCAAAATATTTCCCTAGGCTACTCCCTCTGCGTTCCAGCTCATATATTTTTGGGAATGCACCACATGGTTCTCCACCTCCAAGACAAACTGTGAGCCTGCAGAGAGAAATTACGTTCTGCTTAACCAGCACAGTGCCAGCGACTGCACACGGGTGACAGCGGCTTTGTTACACAGCATGCTTCTACCGCCTTTAAATCTGGGCTACACCCAGGACAGAAATGCCAGCTGCTAAATATACCTTCTGAGGCGTTTAAACAAGACCTACATTTAACAATGGTTTTGTAAGGAAAAGGCCTGTGCCCAGCTTTCCATTAAGTTTGGAGGAATCCAGTTCTCATTACAAGAAGGGTCACGCTGCCCTACATGTAATTGGGCTCAGCCGGCAGGACATCATCCTTGGTCACCATTTGAATTAGCAGGCATCAACTATAAGGCTGACGGAACAAGAATGCAAGAACAATCTAAGTGTTCAAATTGTTTTGAGTTACCTGGACTCATGAAAACATCGAATCCTCCTGAACTCCCCTGTACAGTACCGGCAAGATGTTTTAGAGCGGGGATACTGGAATGAGAAATTTCTCCTCTGAAAATGACACAATTATTGTCTCCAAAGGAGCCTTTTCTGGTCATTGTATCTCTTTCAAATAGCCTTGCAGCACTTCCCTTGATAAGCTGCTCTCCCCACTGCCAATGAAATAAGCAGTGGCTATTACCATCAGTCATGTTATTCACATCATTTTTCCATGTCCCTCTCACGGGGTGGCACCACTCTGACGCAACACCAGCATTATCCAGCGTCAGCAGCTCAAATGAAGCCACGGAGCCATTTTTATCAGTTTTACAGTGAAGGACATGTTCAAATGAAGCTGTTCAAAGATGCATTCCCCTGTACTGAGCTGCCTGCTCCACAACACCCATAGTTCAGATCTCACCCTGGCATGGGTGTAGCTGAGCTCTATTCCTTTGATCCAACACAAAGCAAGTGGGGAAATTGGTCTCTTCAGCACCAACTTACTCTTGAGCAGCTTGTGATTCAATCTGACTGCTTTCCACCAGGAAAAGCAGTTTCCTCTGCAGTTTTATTTTCAAGCTTGTTTCTGTTTTGTTTCAACTACACTTCCTACTAATTGACTCTGTGTTTCTCCATTTTATGTGAAAAATAATAATCAAATGTAATATGTATCCCACTGAGCAAAGTAAAGCGTTCCAGAGCAAGATGCATTGGAAATCTGTTTAAATGAGATTTTAACACTGATTTTTATCATCAAGCAGCACATTTCAATTTACAGAAATTCAATGTTGATTTTGCGTGTTATCTTATTGAAAAAGCTGCATTTTCACTGGCTACAAATTGCATTGATGAACATAACCTTTACACCCAGCTGAGCCTTCTGCTGTGTGGGAAGAACCATCATTTAAGTTATGGTGTAGCTAAACAAACATTTAGTCAGACCTTAGTCTTCCTATTTCGTAATGCAGTAGTGATTGATCTTCTTTAACTCATTTGTGTCAAGTGCTATTGGGATGTGAGAAAAATATTCAGATCAAATGCATAAGAAAATTTGCAGAGTCACTTTCATTTTAAAAATAAAACAAACTCTTTATGGTTACTTCTGTAAGTAAATAAAAATACAGTATACTATATATAATAAGTAATATATTCATTATATCATCTATATTAATATATAAATAATATAAATACAATATACAATGTTCAATATAAATTCTACAGCCTAAACCCGATGTAGTAGAATACTTTCAGCAGTGAAGGAACTGCACCGTGTGGTTTTGGTCGCATCTCTTGGCATCTGCAGTTGCTGTGTTGGGCAGCCTGGATAAACCCCCTTAGTGGGGGGTACAGAAATCAACCACAGACACATGCAAAGCTCAGGAAGAATTAATGCATCCTGCTCCTCAGCAGCTAAGACAACACAACTGCTTCTGGTGTCAGTCATTCGTGTAACTAACACCCTTTTATTGTGCTGTGTATATATATATATATACTGCTAAATCAATTCTACTAATGTCTGCAGAGAAAAACCAAACTTTTCTTCTTAATTCATTCAAGCTTAAATAAATGGATTTTGGCCAACAGAAAATAGTATACTTGCAGGGAAAAGCTAATTGAAGATTTCAACATCTCCAATTCTGAGTTATCCACC